CTCCTCTCTCTACCTCTCTCTCCTCTCCTCTTACTCTCTCCTCTTCTATCTCTCTCTCTCTTCTCTCTCTCTCTCTTCTCTCTCTCCTCTCTCTCTGTCTTCTCTCTCCTCTATTCTCTTCTCTCTCTCTCTCTCCTCCTCTCTCTCTGTCATCTCCTCCTCTCTCCTCTCTCTCTCTCTCTCTCTCTCTCTCTCCTCTCTCTCTCTCTCTCTCTCCTCGTCTCTCTCTCTACTCTCTCTCCTCGCTTCCTCTCTCTCTCTCCTCTCTTCTCTCTATAATCTCTTATCTCTCTCCTCTCTTCCTACTTCTCTCTCTCATCTTCCTCGCCTCTCTTCTCTTCGACACTCTCTCTCTCTCTCTCTCTCCTCTCTATTGTCTCTCCTCTCCTCTCCTCCTCTCTCTTCTCTCCTCTCTCTCTCTCTCTCTCTCTCTCACTCTCTCTCTCTCTACCTCTCTTCTCTCCCTCTCTCTCTCTCTCCTCTCTCCTCCCATCTCTCCTCTCTCTCTCTCTCTCTCTCTATACTCTCTCTCTCCTCTCTCTCTCGCTCTCTCTCTCCTCTCTCCCTGCCTTCTTCCTTCCGGCTCTCTCCTTCTCCCTCCTCTCTCCCCTCTCTCTCCTCTATCTCCTCTCTCTCCTCTCTTACCTCTCTCTCATCTCTCGTCACTCTCTCTCCTCATCTCTCACTCTGTCTCAGACCCTGTCTCCTCTGTACTCCTCTCTCTCCTTCTCTCTCCTCTCTCCTCCTCTCTCTCTCTCTCTTCCTCTTCTCCTCCTCTCATCTCTCGCCTCTCTCTCTCCTCTCTTCTCTCTCTCTCTCTGCTCGCTCCTCTCCTCTCTCTTTCGCTCTTTCTCTTTCTCCTTTCTATCTCTCTCTCTCTCTCTCTCTCCTTCGTCTCCTCTTCTCTCTCTCTCTCTCTCTACTCTCTCTGTGTGTCTCTCTTCTCTCCTCGTACTCTCTCTCTCTCTCTCTCCGCTCTCTCTCTCTTATCTCTCTCTCTCTGTCTCTCTTTCTCCCTCTGTCCCTATCTGTCTCTCTCCTGTCTCCTGCCGCCCTCTCTCCTCTCTCTCTCTCTCTCCTTGCGCTCTTCTATCTCTCTCTCCTCTCTCTCTCATTCTCTCCGCTCTGTCTCTCCTTTTCTGTTCCTCCCCTCTCGCATCTCTCTCTCCCTCTCTCTCCTCTCGCACAACCTCATATGTACATCTCACCATATACTGTCTCTCTGTGTCTCCCTCCTCTCTATATCCCCATATTTATCCCATCCTCTATCCTCTCTTCTCCCTATATATCCCTATCTATCCCGCTCTCGTCCCTCTCTCTCCCATATCTACTCACATCTATTCCCTATCTATCCCTATCTCTCCTACCTCTCTTCCTATCTCTCCCTCTCTCTACATATATAATCCATTATATAGCCATATATATACATATATATGCATATATAATTATTATATATATCTCTATCATATATCTATATATCTTATATATAGATTCTATATCCTATATTTCAATACATCTATAATCTATATCATCTCCATATACATACACACACACAACATAATATATATATATATATCATATATCTAATATATTATATATATTTATATATATATAACTACATACATCATCCATATAATCAAATATATATACTATACTAGATAATATATATATATATGGATCTATATATATCTATATACATACACTACACACACCCAGATATACCTATATCTATATATATAATAATAATATATATATATTCTATATATATATATATAGATATATATATACACACAACACACACATATAGATATAACATATATATATATATAATAGATATATCTATTATAATTATATATATATATATATATATATATTATATATTTTTGTTTTTACATCTATTCATTCCACTGCGACATATGCCACTCTCCCAAATCAGTAATTGAGAGGTTATATTTCAAGTGTCCACCCTTGGTCCTGATTGAATGCCTTCCTATCACACGCGGTTTTGATGCGTAACACTTTGCCACGCGGTGACCTTCCCCTACAACACCTCGTTTGAACCTCTCAGGCATATGGTCGTTTTCTCAGGGCTCGAGGTAGCAGTCAGAGTGCAGGCATTTTTTACCAACCGCCCGCGACGGGGAATTGAACCCGGGACACTTGGGTCGGAGGTCGCAGTCTCTAACCACTGAGCTATTCGCGGCGAGTATACCTATATATATAGCTATATATATAGCTATTAATATATACTATATAGATATCGCTATATATTAATATCTTATTATATAATAGCTATCTGTGTTAGCTATAATGTATATAGCTATATGTATATAGCATATACATATAGCTATAATCATATAGGCTATTATATATATCTTATATATATAGCTATGATATATATAACTATATATGTTAGCTATATATATATATTATATATATATATTATTATATATATATATATTATATATATATATATAATAGCTATATATAATATATATATATATATCACTTCTATGTAGATCTCTATATATATCTTATATCTCTATATTATATATATATTATCTATACGCTATCTATATAGCTATATATATAGCTATATATATATAGCTTAAGCTAAGTTAGCACTATAATATAGACATATATATATATCGCACTATATCTATAGCCGTATATATATAATAGTATATTATATAGCAATCTAGATATAGCTAATATCTCTAGCTTAGTATATATAATTAACTCTATATATCTATGCTCTCTATCTACATATATATACACATCTATCATATATAATATATATAATATATATACACTAACATATATATACACATATTATATCTATATATAATATATATATATATATATCTATTCTCTAGTATCTATATATAGACACGATATATATCTCTATTATCTATAATCTTATATCTCTAGTATATATCTTATCGTTATCAACACGCTATATCTATGCTATCTATCTCTATATCTCTACTCTCTCGCTACTATCGTTTCTATCTCATCCACCTCTCTTAATCACCCTCTCTATATCTATAGCCATACTTCTCTCCCACTCTCTCTCTCTCTCTGCTATATCTCCCTCTCTCTCTCCCTCCTCTCTCTCTCTACCTCTATATCTCTCTCTCTCTCTCTCTCTCTATCATCTTACACTCTCTCTCTTCCTCCTCCTCTCCTTCTCCCTCTCTCTCCTTCTCTCTCTCCATCATCTCTCTCTCTCCATCTCTCTCTCTCTCTCATCTCTCTCTCTCATCATCTCCTCTCTCTCTACTCTCTCTACCACCTCTCTCTCTCTCTCTCTCTCCCCTCTATCTCTCTCTCTCTATCTCTCCTCCTCGTCTCTAATCTCTATCTCTCTCTATCTCTATCTCTCTCTCTCTCTCGCGTCATCTCGCTCTCTCTCTCTCTCTCTCTCTCTAGCTCCCTCTCTCTCTATCTCTCTCTATATCCTCCTCTATCTCTCTATATCTCTCTCTACTCTCTCTCTCTTCTTATCTCTCTCCCCTCTCTCTCCCTCTCTCTCTATCATCTCTATCTCTACTCTATCTCTCAATTACTTCTATCTATATATATCTCTATCTCTCACTGCTCTAACATCTCTATCCCTATAATATACTATCTACTCTCTCTATCTCTATATTATTATATATATGGTTATATATACATATCTCTATATAGTCTATATATAATACATCTATTATATATACATCTATATATATATACAGATATTAAGATCTCATATAGATACACAATATATACACATAATAAATAATATATATATTATATATTATACTATATCTAATATATATATATATATACTATATAGTACATATTATATATATCTGACATATATATACATAGTATAACCTATATACATATATACATATACCACACATACCACATTACACACACACACACACACACACACAACACGACACACAACACACACACACACACACATAGAATAATATATATATATATATCTATATATATAGATATCTATATATATGTATATATCTATGTAGATGTAGATATATTGTTATTCGTCGTACTACTGTCTCTGTCTCTGTACTATGTATCTGTCTATCTGCTGTATATCTATCTCTCTACTATATACTATTCTCTCTCTCATATCTGTATCATCTGTCTCGGTCATCTATATTGTCTCTATCTATCTCTCTGTCTATCTATACTCTCTATCCATCTCCATCTCCAATCTATCTATCTCATCTTCCTCTACTATCTCGCTACTATCTTACTATATATCTCTCTCTTAACATCATCACTCATCTATAGAAGACTCTCTATCTCTCTCTCTCTCATATATCTTATAATCTCTCCCATCTCTCTACCATCTCTCTCCTCTCTCGTATATCTATATATCTTGTCTATCTCGTATCATACATCTCTTCTCTACTCTCTCTCATCTCTTCTCTGGGGTTTCTCTCTCTCTCTCCCTCTCTCTCTCTCTATCTCTCATCTCTCTATCTCTTCTCTCGCATCTCTCTCTCTCTCTCCTCTGTCTCTCTAGCTGTGTCTCGCTCCTCTTTCTCTCTTCTCTCTCTCTACTCATATCTCTCTCTCTTCTCTCTCTCTCTCTCTCTTTCTCTCCTGTGTCTCTCTCTCCTGTGTCTCTCTCCAGTCTTCTCCCTCCTCCTCTGTGTCTCTCTCTCTCTCTCTCTCTCATCAGCCCTCCTCTACTCTCTCCTCCCTCTGCCTCTCTACTCTTCTCTCCACTTCTTGTCTCCCTCCGCGCCTCCCTCTCTCTCTCTCTCTCTCTCCTCTCTCTTACTCTACTTCTCCTCTCCTGTTCTCTCTCTGTGTCGCCCTCTCCTCTGTGCTCTTCTCTCTCTCATCCTTCCTCTCTCATCTCATCTCTCTCTTCTATCTCTCTATCTCTCCCTCTCTATCTCTCTCTCCGCTACTCTCTATCTCTCTATCTCTCTCTCTCTACTCTCTCTCTCTATCTGCTCTCTCTCTCTTTTATCTATCCCTCTCCCTCCTATCCCTCTCTCTCTCTCTATCGATCTCATATGCGCTGCTCTCTATCTCTCTCTCTCTCTATATCTCTCTCGCCTCCCCTCGTTCCCTGGGCTGTCCTGCCGCTTCCCTCTTTTTCTTTTTCTTTGTTTGCTCGCTCCATGGCTTCGTGTGTGGCTTCTTTCCCGTTCGGTCGCTGTCCAGCTGGCACGGCGCGCGTCCGTGACCTCCCTGGCGGATTGAAACAAACAAACAAACAAATTATAGCAAGCTGTTTTGTAATAATTCTTCCAGTTTGTTTGTATTTTTAGTGCTGATTTAGTATGTCTGTATATAATCGCTGACAGATATATTCCACTGACAGATACATTCCGTTGTGGACCGACACTGGATGGAAGCGGAAGGGGGTGGAGCCGTTGGCCGTGTACCATCTAGCATCCTTGTACAAGTGGATTTGCCTCCACATCCACCAAATCTTCCACTTTTTGTTGCATCAGCAGAGTTCTTGCCTGCACAGGCTGGAGATCTTGGATTGGCCAGAGGTACTGTGCTGGTTCACAATGAAAGCAGAATGGAGGGTGGATGGATCCTTATGCAGGTCATGTCAGTGTGTTTTTTTATTTTTAATTTTGTGTGCACGCAAGGCCACACTGTTCTCATCTGTAACCAATTTCTTATATTATTGGGAATTTTTTTACCAGAAAATTCAAGAATGGAGTAAACAGGTAATGTTAGTTAAACTTAGTAAATGACTCCTTGGTTATTCAGTGCTTGTGAAGCTATCTGTGTGTAAGCAAAATGTTATATATTATATATTATATATTATATATTATATATTATATATTATATATTATATATTATTATGATATATTTATATTATATATTTATAATATTATATTTATATATTATATATTTTATTATACACACAAACACACACACAACAGGAGCGGCACACACACACACCACACAGCACACAACACACACACACACATATATATATATATATATATATAATATATATATATTATGTATATATATAATAATACTATATATATTATATATCTCTAGATATAATACATATATATAAGATATATATATTATACTATATATATTCATACATTATCTCAATTAATATATCTCTTCTATATCTATCTTATATATATATATCCATTATCTATCTATCTCTCTCTATTCATTATCTCTATCTATATTATACTCTATCTATCTATTCTGATCTCTATCATCTTATGTACTCTCTATCTTCTACTACTCTCTCCTCTTCTATCTCTCTCTACTCTCTTCTAACCACCCACTTCTATATCTCTCTCTCTCGCTCACTCTCTATCTCCTCTCTCTCTCTCTCTTCGCATATTCTCTTCTACTCCTATATCTCTTCTCCTCTCTCTCGTCCCGCTCCCTTCGCTCTTCTCTCTCTCTATCTCTCTACTTCTCTCTCTCTCCTATCTCTCATCATATCTCTCTCTCTATCTCTTCTTATCTCCTCTATATCTCTCTCCTCTCCTCTCCTCTCTCTTTACTCTCTCTCTCTCTCCTCTCTCTCTCTTCCTCTCTATCTCTCTCTTCTCTATCTCTATCTCATCTATCTCTCATTCTTCCCTACTATCCTCTTCCCCCTCTCTTGAACCTCTCTCGCTTCTCTCAGCTCTTCCTCTCTCTCTTCTTCTCTTCTCTCTCTCTCTCTCTTCTCTCATCTCTCTTCTCCATCTCTCTACTCTGTCTCCTCTTCTCTCTCTCTCTCTCTTTCTCCTCTCTCCTCTTTTCTCTCTCTCTTCTCTCCTCTCTACTCTCTTCTCTCTCTCTACTCTCTCTCTCTCTATTCTCTCTCCTCTTCTCTCTCTCTCTCGCTTCTCTCTCTCCTTTACTCTACTCTCTCTCTATCTCTTCTCTCTCTCTCTCTTCTCCTCTCTCTCAACTTACTCTCCTTCTTCTCTCTCTACTCTCCGCTCTCTCCTCTTTCCTCTCGCTCTTTCTCCTCTCTCTCTCTGCTCTCTCTCTTCTCCTCTCTCTACCCTTTTTTTTCCACCCCCAATACTCTCTCTTCATTCTCTCTCTCTCTCTCTTCTCTCGCTTCTCTTTCTCATCTCTCTCCTCTCTCTTCTCTCTCTCTCTTCTCTCTCTCTCTTCTCCGTGTTCTCTCTCTCTCTCTCGTCTCTCTCTCTCTCTCTTCTCTATCTCTCTCTCTCTCTCTCCTCATCTCGCTCTCTTCTCTCTCTCTCTCTCTCTCTCTCTCTCTCATATCTCTCTCTCTCTCTTGCTCTCTCTTCCACCCTCTCCTCCCTCCTCTCTCTCCTCCCTCTCTCTCTCCTCTCTATCTCCTCTCTCTCTCTCTCTCTCTCCTCTCCCTCTCTCTCTACTCTCTCTTCCTCTTGTCTCTGTCTCTCCTCTTTTCTCTCTCTCTCTCTCTCTCTCCGACTCTATCTCCTCTCTCTCTCTCTCTGTCTTCTCTCTCTCTCTGTCTTCTAATTCTCTCATCCATGTCTTCTCTCTCTCTCGTTGTCTTCTCTCTCTTCACTGTCGTTTCTCGTCTCTCTCATCTTATCTCTCTCTCTAGTCTCTCTCTCTCTCTGTCTTCGTCTCTCTCTCTGTCATTCTCTCTCTCTCTTCTTGCTCCTCCTCTGTCTTTCTCTCTCTGTCTTCTATCTCACTCTCTGTCTTCTCTCTCTCTCTCTTTCTTCTCTCTCTCTCTGTCTTCTCGCTCTCTCTGTCGTTCTATCTCTCTCTGTCTATATCTCTCTCTCTAGTCTTCTCTCTCTCTCTGTCTTCTGCGCTCTCTGTTCTTCTCTCTCTTCTCTCTTCTCTCTCTCATCTCCTCTCTCTCTCATCTCTTCTCTCTCTCTTTCTCTGTCCTCCTCTCTCTCCTTCTCTCTCTCTTTCATGTCTCTCTCTCTCCTCCTCTCTCTCTCTCTCTCTCTCTTTCTCCCTCCTCTCTCCCTCTCTCTCCCTCACTCTCTCCTCTCTCTCTCTCTCTCTCTCTCTTCTCTCTCGCTCTCTCTCTCTCCGCCCTCTCTCTCTCTCCCTCCTGTCTCTCTTACATACATCCCTCTCTCTCTCTCCTCCCTCTGCTATCGTCCCCATCTCTCTCCTCCCTCTCTCTCTTCCTCCCTCTCTCTCTCCTCCCTATCTCCCTCTCTAGCTCCCTCTCTCTCTCTCTTACTCCCTCTCTCTCCCTCTCTCTATACTCTATCTCCTCTCTCTTCGCTCTCTCTTCTCTTCTCTCTTCTCTCTCTCTGTCCTTACTGTTTCTCCTCTCTCTCTGTTTTCTACTCTCTCTCTCTGGTCTTTCTCACTCTCTCTCCTGTCTTATCTATCTCTGTCTTCTCTCTCTTCTGTCTTCTCTCTTCGCTTTCATCTCTATATCTACTGTCTTCTCTCTCTCTCTTCTCTCTCTCTCTCTCTCTCTCTCTCGCTTCTATCCTCTCTCCTCTCTGCTATCGTCTCTCTCTCCTCCTATTCTCTATATCTCTCTCTCTCTCTCTCTCTCTTCTCTCTCTTCTATGTCTCTCCCTCCTCTCCTATGTATTCTCTATCTGTACTCTATCTCTCTCTCTCTCCCTCTATCCGGCCCCCTGTTCTCTCTTCCATACTTCTCTCTTCTCATCTTCTGCTCTTCTTCCGTCTCTCTTCTCCCCCCCCCCCCCGCCCCCCCCCCCCCCCCCCCCCCCACCCCCCCCCCCCTCTCTCTCTCTCTCTATTCTCTCATATCTCCTCTCCTATTATTCTCCTATCTATCCCTCTCTCTCTATCTCTCTCTCTTATCTCTCTCGTCTCATATTTCTCGCTCTCTATCCTCTCTCTTACTACTGTACTATCTATCATCTTCTATCATCCTACCTCTCTCTCTATCTCTCCTCTCTCTCTCTTCTCCTCTATCTCTCTCTCTCTCTCTCATCCTCTCTCTCTCTCTCCTCTCTCTCTCTCATCTCTCTCTCTCTCTCTCTCCTCTCTCTCTCTCTAACTCTCTCTCTCCTCTCTCTGTCTCGCTCGCTCCTCTCTCATCTCTCTCTCTCTCTCTCATCTCTCATCTGTGTGATGTGTGTGTGTGTGGGTGTGTGTGTGTGTGTGTGTGTGTTGGTGTGTGTTGTGTGTGTATCCTCCTCCTCTCAGCCCTCTCTCCTCTTCTCCTCTCTCCCCTTTTGCTCTCTCTGTCCTCTCTCTCTCTCTCTCTCTATACTCTCTTCTCTCTCTCTATCCTCTCTCTTCGCTCTCATCTCTCTCTCTTTCTCTCTATCTCTCTACTCTCTCTTCTACTCTTTCTATCTCTCTCTCTCTTCTCTATCTCTCTCTATCTCTTAATCTCTCTCTCTCTCTCTCCTCTCTCTCTCTCTCTCTTCTTCTCTACTCTCTCTCTCCTCTCATCGTCGCTCTCTCCTCTCTCTCTATCTCGTCTCTCCGTGCTCTCTGGCCTCCTTCTGCTCGCGATCTCTCCTCTCTCTCTATCTCTCTCTCTCTCTCTGCCCTGCTCTCTCTCTCCTCTCTCTCTCGTCCTCTCTCTCTCTCTCTCTCTCTCTCTTCTCTCTTCTCTCTCGTCTCTCTCTCTCTCTCTCTCTCTCGCTCTCTGTCTCTTCGCTCTCCTGTCTCTCTGTCTTTCTCCTATCTGTCTCTCTCGCTTCTCTCCTCTCTCTGTCTCTCTCTCTCTCTCTCCCTCTCCCCTATGCTCGCCCCTTGTTCTCTCTTCTCTTTCTCTCATTCTCTCCTTCTCTCTTATCTCTTCTCTTTTCCCCCCCCCCCCCCCCCCCCCCTGCCCCGCCCCCCCCCCCCCCCCCCCACATTATCCTCTCTCTCTCATCCCTCTCTCGATCTATCTCTCTCTTCTTCCTCTCTCTCTGTCTCTCTCTCTTCTCCTCTCTCTCTCTATTGTCTCTCTATCCGTCTATCTCTCTCTCTCCTCCTCTCTCTATTCTCTCTTCTCTCTCTCTCTTCCTCTCTCTCTCGTCTTATCTCCTCTCTCTCCTCTCTCTCTCCTATCTCCTCTCTCATCTTCTCTGTCATCCTCTCATTCTCTCTCTCTCTCTTATCTCTCTCTCTTCTCTCTCATCTCTCTCTCTCTCTCTTCTCGCTCTCTCATCTTCTCTTCTCTCTCTCTTCTCTTCTCCTCTCTCTCTCTCTCTCTCTTCTCTCTCTCTCTCTTCTCTCTCTATCTACTCTCTCTCTTCTCTCCTCTCTCATCTCTCTCTCTATCTCTCTCTCTTCTACTCTCTCTCTCTCTTCCTCTCTACTTCTCTCTCTCTCTCTCTCTCTCTCTCTCTTCTCTTCTCTCTCTCTTCTCTCGCTCTCTCTTTCTCTCTCATCTCCTCTCTTTCTCTCTCTCTCTCTACTTTCTCTCTCTCTCTCTCTTCTTACTTCATCTCTCTCTCTGCTCTCTCTCTCTTCTCTCTCTCTTTCTCTCTCTTCTTCTCTCTGTCTCTCTCTAGTCTCTCTCTCTCTCTCTTCTCTCTCTCTCTCCTCTTCTCTGCTCTCTCTCTACTATCTCTCTCTCTCGATTCTCTTTGTATCTCTCGCTCTCCTCTATACTTCGCTCTTC